GGGGGGGGGGGGGGCGCTTGCCTCGGAGTCTGTGAATTCATTGCCAGTCACTCCCCACGCACCCCGCGCTGCCCTCATCTGGGAGGTGAGGAGTCGGTGAGGAAATCAGGAGGTGAGCCCCGCAATGAAATGGCCCCACAGGGCCCCCGCGGCCTGGGCCCCTGCATGCATCTCGCCTGAACTAGGTTCCTATCCTATATAATAAAAGGCTAATATGCAAATCAACTGAATGGCAGAACGGCCGGTCGCTATGCCATGCACTGACCACCAGGGGGCAGATGCTCAATGCAGGAGCTGCCCCCTGGTGGTCAGTGTGCCAGAAGCGGGGCCCAGAGCTGACGAGCGCAGCAGCAGTGGCAGGAGCCTCTCCCGCCTCCCCAGAAGCTCTAAGGATGTCCGACTGACGGCTTAGGCCCGCTCCCCGCAGAGTGTGGGCCTAAGCTGTCAGTCGGACATCCCCCGGGGGCTCCCAGACTGTGAGAGGGTGCAGACCTCTAGTTTCTGAATCAACGCCCAGGCCCAGGGAAGCGGTTTCTGTGGAGGCCTGGTGGCTCTTGGGCTGGCCTATGTCCCCCACAGTCCCTGCCCAGGGCCCCTCATGCTCCCCAGTCCTGAGGATACCCCAGGTTCCCTGTCCTTGCCCAGCTCCTCCTTATCCCCCACATACCCCTCAGATCTAACAGTGTCCCCCCAGAGGCCTGGGCCCGGCTGCCAGCTCCCACATGGCACTTCCTGGCCAACAGATGGTGCTCCCCACCCACCCGACTCCCAGACCTCTGCACGTGCTCCCACTGCAGGCCTAGTCCACCCTCCCCTCACCCCCACCGCCACCCCCAACCCCTGCCAGGAGGGACAGCAAACGTGCAGGGGACCCAGGTGGGCAGGGACCCATGTGCAATGGAACATCTGGAGGCAGCGAGAACCCTGCTCTCCCCTCCACTGCAGGGCGCATGCTCACTGACTAGGGCGAGCACAGAGGGCCCTGGAGAAAAGAGGGGGCCCAGAGGAGACGCTCAGCTCCCGCCTCATGTCCTCCAAACACTGACACTGCCCCCCAAGTGAGACACCTGTGGAGGGAAGCCAGCCTCCCTCGCCCTGTGACAGAGGCAACCACGGTCCCGGGCTCACGGCCTGGGCCATGCAGAGCTGGCCCTTCAGACGGAACCTGTCGGAGCCCAAGGGCAGGTGGGAGCAGCTCACAGGCACCGAGGAGGAGACAGAGGTTCCGGGAGGACCCCAAGCCCAGCTGCCTCACGTGACCACTGAGAGACCAGGCTCCCGGAAGTCACCAGCTTGTCTGCGATGCAGCTGGCACCCAACCAGCACCTGGGACCCGGTCCTACTCCCCGCTCTGCCCTGCACGGCTGGGTCTTCCTGCTCCAGGACCCCCACGGGAGCACTTTGGGGAGGAAGCCTGGGGAGTGGCATGGACGAGGGCTGGGCGTCAGGGCTCAGCGCCTCTGTTCCCGTCCCCAGCTCCACTCGGGCTTTGACTCCTGCTGGCTCCGCCGGCTTCGTCTGAAGTGCAAAGGCCACCCTGTCACCTTGGGCGACGCAGGACACAGATGCTTCACGCTCCCCGACAGCGTGTTATGCGAGGAGACGAGACGGGCAAGGCCTGCGGCTCCAGGGCAGCCTCTTCGTCTGAGCAAAGGCCACCCTGTCACCTTGGGCGACGCAGGACACAGATGCTTCACGCTCCCCGACAGCGTGTTATGCGAGGAGACGACGAGGGCAAGGCCTGCGGCTCCAGGGC